ACAAGGGCAATCGATCTGTTTCTCTTCTCCCAAACAGCGCCAATTTCCCAGTGCAAATGGGCTTAACCTGGCGGTTGCCCAGAGCAGTGAGGAATGGCTGAGGGGGGTTGGAAGACTTGTGCTGCTTTTGCAGGAAGGAGAGAGAGAAAAGGAGGCTGGGGGTCGGGGGGGTTGACGTTTCTATCCCCGCCCTCTCCCCCTAACACACACACACACACACACACACACACACACACACACACACACACGCTCCCTTTATCCTGGTAGCTTGGGCGCCGCCACAGCTCGGATTACTCAAGCGTGCTTTAGCGGAAGCCAGCCAAGAAATCTCTAAAACTCCGTGACAAACAGCTACTCTGGGAAGGTGATCTCTACGGCCACCAGCCACAGAGCTCCGTCCCTGAGCTCCTCACGCCGCAGTAGCTAAAGCACCCTTAGCTGCAAGGAAAACACAGGTGGGAAAACAGTTTCTTAATGAGGAATATTTGTAGGCTCTGTTGGCGCTCAGCAGGTTGAAGATTGAGAATGAACCACCTAAGGGTGCAGAATTAGCCTCAGGGTGCAGCTCGGATCCCTGGGTTCAGCAGAGGTGGGTGCCGAAGCCCGAACTGAATTGGCACGCGGGTCCCTGCCCAGCGCTGAGCCGCGCCTCGGAAAGACTGAAAGCTGCCCGTGCCGCTGAGCATGCCCAGTTTCTGCCTGAGTCCCTGGAGGGTTGCAAGATTGGGGGTTGATTTGGTCTCCAGGTGCCGTAGGCTGCGAGAAAGATGAGACGGCCAAAACGAGAAGGCCAAAGATTGCGAGCGACTAGTACAAAACAAGGAAAGAGTTTGAAATAGGTGAGGCTGAGCGCCAAAGGGAAGGAACAAAAGGTGGGTGGGGCTAAGAGTTACCAGCCTTGGCTGTGACCTCCGATGCCACTCATCTCCGGAACACACTAGCTACATTCTGCTCTCCTCCACCATCTCTAAGGAGCCATCTCATATAGGATAGAAAAGGGTTCAAGGGGCAGAATAGAGTCCTCTTCCTTCTCGCTTCTCAAAGGCTGCCAGCGTGGGAATCTCAGGGTATACAGACACTTCTGTTCAAATAGTCCTCCTGGAGACTTAGGAAAACAAATGTGACAAGCTGTGCCAGGAAAGCGTGTTTCTGAAGTTGTTTTTCTAGTTTTTCTTTATTGTTTTCCCTTTATTTTTGTTATCTCTCCCCCACCCCCTTTAACCTGATAGCCCCTCTCCGCGCCCCTTTCTCTAAATGGAATTTGCTACGACTTCAATCTACTCAAGCAGAACACAGACGAATATCTCATTTCCTGCTGGAGATAAGGGTCCAGAGATTCCTGTCAACACATGCAGTTGCATGATAGAATTTGGGGGGTTCTTGTAGCTCATTAGCCTGCTATGCCTTGAGTCAACTGGGTTCTTATTTTCTCAGTTACAGCTTCAAATCTGAAGTGAAATAATGAGAGTGGAACTGAGAAGGGCCGTGAAGCAGGGTTAGTTTAGGAAGGTGAATCAGGTGGGTTGCAATAACCAGGAAGTAAGCATAACAACTTTTATGTTCCAAAACAACAAACCCCAAAGTCTAAACAAAAACAGGAACCGAAGTAATTCCTCCTCTTTAATATCAGAGTAATTAAAATGAATCAAACGAAAGACGTTCCTAGGAATGTTGAATTTTATGGCTAATAAGGTTTACTTTAAAAATAAGCAACCTATGACAACCTCTAGGCTCTTCTAGTAGCTTGAGCTTTCCTAAGTCTTTATGGTTGCCTCTGCGGGAATATAAAAAGCCATATGTCACTAGTGTGTGGTTTTATTTTCTCCTTAAAAATATATATAAGTCCATCATTCCGTCATACTGTTCGCTAGCTGCAGCCGTGCTTGGGAGACGACTAGAGTTTCTCTCCCAGGTGCTGAACGTGTGGAGCTATCCATGGTTCTGAATCCGAATCAGCCGTTGGCAACTGTTCTCTGCCTACAACCAGCCGCAGACAATAGAACTACAAACTCAGGCAAGTGGCCCTAATGTATCCACATGCACCACTCTCTTCACTAAATGCCCAAAGAAATACAGAGTGTTCTAAAACACATTTCTTCTCTACTTAGCGTCTTAACTAAACCCAAGTTCACCTTCCTCCCAAAATGCATCAAGGACTCCAGAAAAAAAATGAAGAAACTGCATATTGCGTAGATTGTAATTAAAGTTTCACCTATGAAGTTGTATTTTAATTAAGATTTCACGGCACAATAATATAACAATAAGTTATATAAAGGTAATATAGCTAAACTTTTTAAAAATTACACATAAATTTAGTGAATGAATACTGTTTTAAAGTAATAGGTATTTCCAAATACAGCTGGAAACACAAAGTTTATCTGTCACATGACAAGATATATTGACATGCAGAAGGTAACTGTGCATAATGTCTCTAATTGTAAGTCTGAAACTAACTTTCATAGGATATTGATTCTGGAAACCCTTGAATTCCACTTTCCTTCTTCAAGAGAAAAAGTGGCTTTCTGCTCCCTGAAGTATTCTCTCTTTCTCTGCAACTTTTAGAGTGGTCTCTGTTTGTTTGGGTTGGTTAACTAAATACGTGATGGCTAAAATCCCATTGTCTTTGTTACATATGTGTGAGCTCTGTGGGCTTTACACTTTTCCTAATCTCATTTAACTCCAAAATTAGTTCTATTAAGGATTCAGTGTAAAATCACAGAACATTTTATAACCTATGTATTGTAATTGATTGAGCAGAAGATTAAAGGCATCCTGTTTCTAAATTACCCCAGTAATCGTGTTCATACATTATACATTGGAACAGTGGAGAAAGTACATTAATCTATATTCAGCCAATAGAATAAAAGCAGTGGATGGTAATCATGGCTGCTTGTTGGCTGGAAAATTATCCTCCCCCACTCCACTTTCTATAAAAGCTAACTTTATATTTTGTGTGGAGACCCACTTTCACAAGTTTTTAGTATTTTTGGACCCTTTTGAAAGTCCAAATATTGAACCAAGCACACAATTCAACTGTTGAAATCCTATCATGTATACAGCTTAACACACAATACAATCTACTTATAGGCAAGGTTGCAGGATAGATTGTATATTCTTAAAATTACCTAATTATCAATATTACTTTAAAATTAAGTCATTTAGTATTTACATATGTAAAAATATTTTGAATGCCTACCATATAATAACAATTCAATAAATTTTACATACACAGCATTTTCCATAGAAGCTCACAGAATTAATGAAACTCTGCTTAAGAAACCTACATTAGAAATCATTCAAGCAGCATATATTATTGCAACCATCACTATGGGATATTTAAATGGCATTCATATATTGGTATAGAATAGAAACTTTTTAATATCAAATTAAATAATGTGATTTGGTTCACATTTTTGAGATGCTGCGGAATATAAGTCAATGAAATTAATGTAAAGTTTTCCCAATTCAGCAAAACTAGTTTAATAATCTGATGACCACAGTGCACATTTTTATTTTTCTTATTTATTTAATCTTTTTTTTTTTCTTTGGGACGGTGTCTTGCTCTGTCACCCAGGCAGGAGTGCAGTGGCACGATCTCGGCTCACTGCAATCTCCGCCTCTCGGGTTCACGCCATTCTCCTGCCTCAGCCTTCGGAGTCGCTGGGACAACAGGCACCCAACACCAAGCCAGGCTAATTTTTTTGTATTTTCAGTAGAGATGGGTTTTCACTGTGTTAGCCAGAATGGTCTCGATCTCCTGACCTTGTGATCCACCTGCCTCGGCCTCCCAAAGTGCTGGGATTACAGGCAGCCACCGTCCTCAGACTATTTAATCTTTTTCTATAGATGGATTCTGGTTCTGTCGCCCAAGCTGTAGTGCAGTGGCATGCTATAGCTCACTACAGCCTCACACCCCTTGCTGACCAAGTGATCCTCCCACCTCAGCCTCCTGATTAGCTGAGACTATAGGTACAGACCACTGTGCCTGGCTAATTAAAAAAAAAAAAAAAATAGAGATGGGCTTCTGCCTTGTTGCATAGGCTGGTCTCAAACTCCTGGCTTCAAGTGATCTGCTCCTCTTGGCCTCTCAAAATGCTAGGATTATAGGCATGAACCATTACGCCAGACCTAATGCAGCATTTTAATGGCTGTTTTAATGTAGCCTAGTATGGGGATCCTGGGTATCATTCTACTAACTGGGTCACATTTAACTGAAGAAACATCTGAGTTTACAGTTACAAGTCAGGAAAATTTCAGCTTGTATTATCATAATGTAGCTTTAGTATCTCAGAAGAGGCAGAAATTTTGAGGCCATTTATTAAAACAACAATATTGCTGAGCAGCATAAAATAGGGGCAAGTGCAAGAAAGAAACCTGGTGTTAACACTGCCATTTTTAGGAGAAAATAACGAAGATAATTCAGGTATTTTGCTCATAGCTTTATTTCTAAAATCAGTATAACAATTTCCAACATTCAATTTTGTGAGAAGTAGGAAAATAGATATACAGTGATTAGGACAAAATCTTGTATACAGCGAATATTTAAGTATCATATATCCTACAATATAAATGTTCTACATTTTGGAAATCAGTAAATTAATAACATTTACATTAACATAGAGTATTTAACTAATTTAGATTAAGGGTGTCCTAGTGTTTTGTTGGGGAGGGGGCATGAGAATAAGGTATAGAATAGTCGGTGAATCATGCTTATCCAGGCAACAGGAACTAATGCCAATGACTGTTCCTAATATATTAACATAAGTGTATATAGTCAGAAAATTGAATTTTACTTCAGAAAATTTAAGATACCTTTCTTATGCCATACTTTATATGTTAGTTAGAATCCAACTAGTCATTTTACCTCAGATACTTTGGGACAACATATTCTACATGTAAATTTTTAT